AGCCTGGGTTGAGGGTTTTTGGGTTTGTACCCTGTTTGAACTCAGCCTGTAGCCCTTAAGGCAGGCGCGTCCTGGTGAGATTGGTGCTATCCTATCTGTCTCCCAGGGTTGGGGTGGGCACATGTTGTTTTGTTTGGCTGGTTTTCTTGTTTTAGGTGGGCGTTAACAGTTAAGAGCCTTGGCCTCTCCGGCTGAGCACTGCTTGGTTATGTCTGCTCGTCTTGTCCCTTGGTTCGTCTCTTTCTGTTTGGGCCGTCCTGGGTCCTGGTAGAACGTTAAATAAGGCCTATGGATCGTCTTCCCGAGGACGTTAACAGCGGTGGCTTTTCCCTGGATACCATCCGGGCCGTCACGGGCCCTGGTAGGACGTTAAACAAGACCTATGGGCCGTCTTCCCGAGGACGTTAACAACGGTGGCTTTTCCCCGGCATTTGGGAGGGCTCTTTGGCACATGGCGGTTGGATTGATCTTGGGTTGGTGGTGTTGCCGGTTATGCATGCCCTTGCAGTATGTCTTCAGCGGGCCCCTTGGCAGGCTCCCCGGACAACCTTCCGGCAAGCCCCTCTGGCAGGCCCCCTGGACTTTAAGTTGTCTACTGCACAGGTCTTGCAAAAGGCTATGGATGGGTGTGCTTCTGCCTTCGACCATTCCGCTGGTCCATCAGCCGGGCAAGAGGGACCTTACCGCTGAGTTGGGACTGGGGCTCAACTTGAGCGTATCGAGAGGATAACTCGCCGTGTTGCTGATGCCCCGGGGCTTGCATAATGTTCGTGGGTGTACCGTTGCCTGGCTCTGAGGGTGGGGGGGGGTTTTGGGCCTGCAGCTTACGTGAAGGGAAAGGGCCTGAGGCTTCGTTCGTTGGGCCACTCGTCTCGTGGCAGGGGGGTGTTTGAACTCAGCCTGTAGCCCTTAAGGCAGGCGCATCCGCCCGCCCTGGTGAGATTGGTGCTATCCTATCTGTTTTCCAGGGTTGGGGTGGGCACATGTCAGGTGGGCGTTAACATACCCGGACTGTACGGTCGGTGCTGTCGGTGAGGGGGGCATGCAGGCTTAGGGACCTTATAATTACCAAAGGCATGAAATCACTCGACCCTGAACCCTTTACCGGGCCCCTTGCCGGTAAACCCAAAACCCACAACCCACAACCCAAAAACCCTAAACCCTAAACCCTAAACCCTAAACCCTAAACCCTAAACCAGTCAGCCCCCTAAAGCCCTGAGGGTCGCAGCCGTTTGAGGGTTCCAGTGTTGAGGGCCATCCTCCGCACCTCAAGTACAAAAGCCAAAGCCGCAGGAACGGTCTTGGGTTTAGGGTTTAGGGTTTAGGGTTTAGGGTTTAGGGGTTTAGGGTTTAGGGTTTAGGGTTTAGGGTTTAGGGTTTAGGGTTTAGGGTTTAGGGTTTAGGTTTAGGACTTCGGGCTTAGGGCTTAGGGTTTAGGGTTGAAGGTTGAGGGTCAACAAGGGGCTTTAAGTACGCAAGCTGCCTGTAGAAAGTGGACCCACAGATTCCGCCCCCGTTTGACGCGCCTGCAGTGCGTAGGTACAGAAGGGTATATGGCGGATTCCGAAATTAAGGGTACCTTCTTGGGGTCCTTATTCTAAGGGAACCCTACTATTTGGGGGTTTATAAAAGGGCTCCCCTATTTTCGTAAAACCCCCTATGTCTACAGTTGCTCTACGCTTCACGCTTCCACGCCCACGCACTTTCAAGTACCAGTAAACCCTGAACCCCGACATCCCTAGAACCCTGCACCCCTAAACAATCCCCAACACCCTCCGAGATTCGGTCCATCCACTTCACGGGGCCCCTGAAGTGGCATCCCCAGCGTGCAAGAGTTTAGGGTTTCGGGGGTGTAGGGGTTCAGGGGTTGAGGGTTTAAGGGTTTAAGGGTTTTAGGGTTTCAGGGTTTAAGGCTTTAAGGCTTTAAGGGTTTAGGGGTGTAAGGGTTTGATTAGGGCTTAACGGGATGTAGGTCTTTCGGGTTTCTGGCATGTTTTTGTTTGGGGTTTGGGCGGGCTTTAGTTTTTTTTGCCTTTTGGTGATTTTCGGTGTCTTTACGTTCGGAGCCCCAAGCCTACCTTAAACATGGGATTGGGGGTGTATTTAGGGCTTAGGGCTTAGGGTCCAAGCCAAGGTGCTAAATGCCTTTGCCCACAGACCTTTATTTCGTCCCCCACTCCTCGGAACTTAAACCATAATCGCCAAGGGCGAGGCTCCATCAACCTCTGAACCATGGAAGCCCTGCCCTAAACCCTAGACCTTGAACCCTTAGTCCTAAGCCCTAAGAAAGCCGAAGTCCTCCTCGTCCGATTCCCCCGGCACCCAAAATAAAGAACCAACAAAACCTGGCCCAAGTACAGCCAGATCAGGGAATTCGACGCCCGAAACCTACTCAGAACCTCTTACAAGCCCGAAAGCCTTCAAACCCGAGTCCAAAAAACCCTGAATCACTGGGCCTGACACGCTAAACCCTGAACCCTAAACCCCATGAATCTATACCCTAAACCCTAAACCCTAAAGCCTAAACCCTAAACCCGAAACCCTAAACCCGCCCACCACCCCTCTCCTTCTGTGGGTGAGTGGGCGCAGTCGAGCGTTCAGCGAGACCATGGCAGGCTCTGCTGAGCTGCAGAGCCTGCAGCCGCACCCCTGAGGGGTCGCCAAGCTAGAGTCGCCTAGCATAGTCCCTAAGTATATTTTATTACCCTAAACCCTAGATTTTTCTGCTGTCGGAAGTCCGCCCCTAAACCCTCCCAGTAAGCAAGGGCCTAAAAACCTTTCCCAGTAAAGGAGGCGGGGGGGGGGCCTTAAACCCTTCCAGTAAAGGCAGGAGGACCTTAAACCCTCCCAGAGTCAACGGAACCCCTCCATTTGGCCTCCAAAACCTTCGAAAGCCATAATTCTGTTGAAGGGCCACCCCTGCGACCTTTTCACTGCCTAGTTTTGGTCAAGGGGGGGTCGTATTTTTCAATTTTTCAAAGCAAAACAGTATTCGGAGACCCCCCTTGGTCAAAACTCTGACCCCCCCTTCAAGGGAGGAAAGTTTGGCCTCCCGGACCATTTCTGAGCCTTTTTGGGCTTCAGACCAGTCCCAGACCAATTCTGAGCCTTTTTTGCTTCTCCGACAATCCGACATAGAGAAAAAAGAAAACAATGAGAAGGCCCTCCGGCCGAAGACTCCCCCAACGCAAAACCTAATTTGTTTTGGCTGTAGTTTCTTTACATGTCCTGAACGCAAGCTTCTGGGCATGTTTTTCATAAGGCTTCATTGCATAACCACACTTTCGCCATGTAGCTAATCCGACGCAGAAAAATGTTGAATGGCTGGCTGGTTTTGGCTGGCTCCGGCTTGGTTTTGCCGTAAGTTGTGATTGGGTGGCCTTGGGGTGGGCATGTCTTCAAACTATCGCGTCCAGCTGACCAATGCTACACCCTAAACCCTAAACCCTAAACCCTAAACCCTAAACCCTAAACCCTAAACCCTAAACCCTAAACCCTAAACCCTAAACCCTAAACCCTAAAGCCTAAAGCCTAAAGCCTAAAGCCTAAAGCCTAAAGCCTAAACCCTAAACCCTAAACCCTAAACCCTAAACCCTAAACCCGAACCCCCCTGCCCTCTCAGACTGCCCCTGAGAAGCTGCCCTGCTTAGGCCTTGCTTCACGCGTGCCGAGGACTTCGCGGAAGAGGAGTGGGACCAGCCGCTAGGACACAGAGTAGGCCATGATTCCCTTTTTTTAGGGTTTGGGTTTCTTTCTCAGCCCCCTTTAAATCAACATGGGTCTCGTCAGGACCCTAAACCCTAAACCCTAAACCCTAAATCCTAAACCCTAAACCCTAAACCCTAAACCCTAAACCTTTGAGTTTAGGGGTTCAAATACACCTCTCCAGCATTTGAGGGCCGGTGAAAGGGGCGCAGGATCTTCCCCTTGGCATGCTTTGGGTGTAGGTTTAGGGTTTAGGGTTGAGGGTTGAGGGTTTAGGGTTTGGGGATTAGGGTTTAGGGTAGCCATGGTTTCTGACCCCCCCATCCTGACCCATGCCTGGAGACTCCAAGGCTCTGAACCCAATCACCCAGGCCGATGCGTGTTTGGCATCGGCTGCAACTTGATGGGTCTGCCGAGGCCGCGCATGCAAGCGGGCTCGGAGCAGTGATTGGGGTTTAGGGCTTAGGGTTTAGAGCTTAGGGATTAGGGTTTAGGGTTTGGGGTTTAGGGTTTACGCGTGCGTTGGTCTCACATATTGGCCGTTGGGGCAAGCCAGATTGGTTGTTTTTTGTGCGGAAGGATTCCTTTTGAAGGGGCTTCTATTCCATTCGATTCTGGGGGGCATACATGGAGACCCTAGCGTGTGGAAACTACCATTTTCCTGCTTGGGATCCCAAAGCAGGCCCGTGATTTCGAAAACCCTCCCACACGAAATCCCAAACCCTCAGTACACCACCTAGAGAGCCCTCAACCACGAAGCTCTAAACCCTGAGGTTTCAAACCTTAATACACTACCTATAGGCCACCTCAAGCCCTAAACCCTAAACCCTAAACCCTAAACCCTAAACCCTGAACCCTGAACCCCAAACCCTGTAATATAGGGGTCGGATTGGCTACTAATCATACTCCCTTATGGTCCCTTTGTATTTCTACTATAATAACCCGCAAACCCAATTCTAATTATTCAGGCCCCTATATTATAAGCCCGGAACACCCGGTTTCTCCCGTCCTGGTGTCAAACCTCAGGACCACCCGAATCCCTGGACCAAACTGCTGCATCCTAAGAAACCATCCTGTGCAGGGGTTTAGGGTTTAGGGTTTAGGGTTTATGGTTTAGGGTTTAGGGTTTAGGGGGTTTGGGGATGTAGAACAACAATATCCAAGAGCAACCTGTGGGTATGGGATTCTTAAGGTAGTGGGTTTGCGGGTTTGCAGTGGGTCCATGCCTCATCGAGGGCTCAAACGCCCGAAAGTGTCTGAAAGAGATCGTCGGCTGATAAATCCAACGGCGCACCATGCGCCCTCCTCTCATGCTACGCCTGTGGCCTTTGCTTGCTGCGACTGCAGTCGAAGCGGTCCGCCGTGAAGCAGGCGCGATAGCCATCGCTAAACCCTAAACCCTAAGCCCTTTTATCGGTTTCACTAATTGACCGAACCAACCGGCTTCATTAGCCTGCGCGCCCCAAACCCTAAACCCTGAATCCTAAACCCTAAACCCTAAACCACCCTTGACCCTTTAAACCCTAAACCCTAAACCCACTAGTACTTAGCTGTAGAGAGCTGTCCCCGGAGCTTGACGCCCGAGATTCTTAAGCCCTGTATGGTCGCTTCTCAAAGCTGCACTGGCCAATGCAGCCTACATGTGGGGGTTTCCGAAAATTAGGGGTACCTTATAGGGGGTCGTTATGATAAGGGCATCTCACTATTTTGGGGGTCTGTTGTAGGGGCCCCTTAACTCCCATGTAGAGCATGCACCTAAAGGTGCAAGACCACAGTGTTTCAACATGTGAAAAAATGGGATTTCGAGCTCTCTACAGACGAAGCCTCCGGCCGCAACCGAAGAAGGAATGCACTCCAGCTTTGGGGTTGGATGGCTTAGGCATCAGCAGGGTGGTGGAGTGCCTATAATCTAATATCCCTAAACCCTAAACCCTAAACCCTAATGTCACTTACCTTCATCAAAGGGTTCCGAAGTATGGGCCCTGGGGTTGTACTTGTAGCGTATTATAAAGGGGGTCCCCTTTTAAGGGCCCATATGAAGTGACCATGTAACTACCCTAAGATATATACGCGCTACCCTAAACCCTAAACGCTAAACCCTGAACCCTAAACAGTAACCCTATATCCTAACCCTAAACCCTAAAACCCAAGCCCTAAACCCTCAACCCTAAACCTTACATCCTCCATGCTCTCCTGATCCAGGTGGTGCCCGCGCGGAGCCTGCGGCGTGCCCGTGTGGGGCTTCTTGGTAGCCCCAGCGGCACCCTTTTGCCCGCTTTTGTGGGTTTGAGGTTCCCTTACAAAGTAAGCAACCCCCAAAAAGGGTACCCTTGTGATGATGTGGTTACCCCGAACCCTAAACCCTTAAACCCTAAACCCTAAACCTAAACCCTAAACCCGAATATGGCGACTGGGCTACTAAGGCTTTGTCCCTGGAGTCCCAGTTTGCGCGCATGGACGCTTGTTTGAAGTTGGGCTTAAGGCTCGTGCCTTAGAGGCCGATAGCCTGACCTCCCCCTCCTTGTTTTTGGGTTTTGGGTTTACGGCTGAACCCAAAACTTTCAACCCTAAACCCTAAACCCTTAACCCTAAACCCTAAACCCTAAACCCTAAACTGAGGGTCAGAGCCCTGAGTTCCAAGACACCAGGGTGCAAAGATCCGGGGGACCCCTGCTTCTGCACCATCTGCTACTCTTTGCTTAAGAACAACCCAAAAAAATAAAGGGAATAATCCCTATATTATAATTTCAAGGAAGAACATGTTAACTTTTTGGGGGTTCTTAAGCAATTCGTAGTCTGTGTCTGATGGGATGACTGCAAGCGCTGTGGCTTAGCTCTATTGAGGGCTTAGGATGGTAGTGGTGTAGGATCTAGGGTTTGTAGGGTCTAGGGTTTAGGGTTTAGGGTTTAGGGTTTAGGGTTTAGGGTTTAGGGTTTAGGGACAGGCCTCAAAGTTCGCCCTAACCTAATTACACCCAATGTGAGGAGGAGCAGAGCCAGATGATGTGGTGCGAGCTAGCACTGGAAAACAGAAACCAGGGAGTCAGTAGGTCCACCCTGAGCCCGAGACCCTAGACCCTAGACCCCAAACCCCAAACCCCAAACCCTAAACCCTAAACCCTAAACCCTAAACCCTAAACCCTAAACCCTAAATGTAATGCGTCAGTTCACCAGATCCCTTTGGGTACCCCTAACTGCCATAGCTATAAGAACCCAAAACCTACTTTTTTTGGTAGGTTACCCAAGAATCCTAAGTAACCTACAACACTCCAGGTTTTGGGTTGCTAGGGTAGCTGTAATATGTCAAGTTCGCGCGGCTAGGTCTCTGCTTCAAGGGAACCCTTGTACATTCCCCCTTCTTGCTATATATATATATATATATGCAAAGCCAACTGTCCATAATCCAGGAGGGACATAAAGAGATTGGCTCAGGTCGCTGTCTCCTACGATGAGAAGGGCATCCGATCGCTGGAGAGCTACGCCAAGGAGATCTTCTCCTGCTACAGTTGGAGTGCCGCGGGCCCAGATCTCCTAGAATTATCGCAGCAACCTAGAATACTCAGGCTGCGGGTGGTTGGGGTTCAGGCTCGAGTGGTTTAGGCTTGAGGGTTTAGGGGTCAGTGTTTAGGGGCACGATCCCTGCACTCAGGAGTTTAGGGGTGAGGGCGCAGGGGGGCACCCTAAACCCTAAACCCTAAACCCTAAACCCTCAACCCTAAAAACCCTAAACCTCCCTGTGCTCAGGATTTCTACTACAAGCTGCCAACTAATGGCATCGTCGGCCGGGTCCTTGCAAAGGCCGCCTGGAGCACTCCAACCGCCTTGGTGGGACGATGTGCCACTTGGGCTCGGCAATCCTGAGCTTGTCAGTTGCCAAGAACCCAAAAGCCCAAACAGCTAGTCTAGGGGTCGGAATAATTACTAATAGTATTCTCTTACGGTTCCTTCCCCTGAAATCTGAAAGCCCTAAACCTTCTGGCTCTGTTAGATACCTTAGATCCCCTCTAAACCCTGTAAGGGATTCAAAAGTACCGAATCCCCTCATCCCCTGCTTAGAGCCCCTCAATAGGGTTTGAGGGTTTCAGGGTTTTAGGCTTTCTTTTGCTTTTTGGGTTCTAGGGTCCTAGGGTTTTTGGGTTTAGGGTTCTAGGGGTTTAGAGACCCCACCATGGTGTTGTTCGGTTTTCCTTTCGCATTTCGGGCTTCAAGCGGGCCATAATATGTTAGGGTTTAGGGTTTAGGGTTTAGGGTTTAGGGTTTAGGGTTTAGGGTTTAGGGTTTAGGTTTTAGGGTCTAGGGTTTAGGGTTTAGGGTTTAGGGTTTAGGATGATTGAGATTTTAGGAGCTTTGAGGCCATGCGGCCTCAGATGTGCACGGTGACCTTCAGCGGGGCCACCAACTTGAACTTTGTGGCCGGGATCATGGACTACGGTCCCGATCCTTGGCTCTTGGAGGGTTTTAGGGGTTGCCCTAAACCCTAAACCTCGGGGTTTAGGGTTTAGGGTTTAGGGTTTAAGGTTTGGGGTTTAGGGTTTCGGGATGTTCCACTGTAATCCCTATTGAGGACTGCTAGTATAAGGCGGAACATCCCGCCTAGACCCTACACCCTACATCCTGCTATAAACCTTAAACCTGGCGGTTACAGGGCTTAGGGCCCTTACTTGGAGGTTTATGGGTAACGAATACAAAGAGGGCTCTCAGTACCCTATCAAGGTTATATACAGGGATAACTGTAGCTATGCTACTTGAAACCCTACTTATAGCTAGCCATGAACCTCCAGGCACCCCCTGAGCTTTAGCCCTAAGCATGCCCTAAACCCTAAACCCTAAACCCGAAACCCTAAACCCTAAACCCTAAGCCAAAGAAGAACATGCCGCTTTGGTCTTTCAGAGCTTGCAGTTTCGGATGCCTTCATGGCTTAGGATCTAAAGGCAGGTTTAACGGTTATACCTGGTCCTTTAGTAGGGTCCCTTACCTTCTTTTAAAGGGTTCTGAAGTATGGGCCTTGGTTTCACCACAAAAAGGGTACCCAGATTAAGGGACATGTCATTACCGTAAGACGCCTTCCAGGGCGTCTAGGACCCATAGTAGGCCCTAGTTCCTTCTTTTTTTTCTTTTGTTGTTTTAAGTTTAGGTGCCCTTATAAGCCCCATATGCCCCAAGACAGGGATTGTACCCGGCAAACCCGAGGTCCGCCTGTACCGGAACGAGACGGGCGGGATCGAGGAGACCCAGCGCGCAGCCAAAGGGTTCAGGGTTTAAGGTTTAAGGTTTAAGGTTTAAGGTTTAGGGTTTAGGGTTTAGGGTGTAGGGTTTGGGCAGTTTCGGGGTACCGGTTCTGAGTTCTTAGTTGGTGGAAGAGTATCGAGTTGTGTAGGAACTATAGGGATAAACTTTTGGCACCTCATTCCCTGCATCATCTTCTAGGAGGCCGGACAAGATGAAGCTGAACCCTGAACCCGAAACCCTAAACCCTAAACCCTAGACCTTGGAGGAGGGAAGTCCAGAAGACGTGCCTTCCCACCGATTCCACAAGTTCTACTGGGAGGTGTACAAGGCGAGGAAGCTGATGTTTGGGAAGTTTGGAAATTTTTTTGTTTGTGTAGAACTTACGGTTTAGGGTTTAGGGTTTAGGGTTTAGGGTTGGTTTAGTTAGGAATTAGGGTTCAGGTTCGAAGATTCAGGGTTTTTGGTCTATGGGTTTGGTTTTGTTGCTTTAGGGTAGTTATGGGGTTCAGGATTTAGGGTCTACCCTGAACCCTGAAAACCCCAAAGCCCTCAAGCCCAAAGAACCCCAAACCCCAACGCCCGAAACCCCCCAAAACCCGATAGCCCTGAAACCCTAAACCCTAAAACCCTTTAGCCTCGAAAGTTTAGGGTTGTTATCGTTGCCTGGGTCGGGTTAGGAGCTATGTTTGCAGGCCCGAACCCAACCCGAGCTCCTCACAGCGTTTGAAAGGCGGTTTAGGGTTTTAGGCTTTAGGGGGTAGGTTTAGGGTTTGAGGGCTTTAGGGTTTCAGGGTTTCAGGGTTTCAAGGTTTGGGGCCTTTAGCGTTTTCGGGTTTTAGGGTTTTCGGGTTCGGGCTTTAGGGTTTAGGGGCTTAGGATGTAGGGTTGCATGGTTCGAGGGTTCTCGCCCGAATTCAACCCCCCAGTGCTGAAGACCCCTATAAGGGACCTTAAGGGTAATCGAAGGGCTACTTGGGTAGATTGGGACTATATATAAGGAAGGTGTTTATAGGGGGAATAACATGAAGGGTCCCTTCTGGAGGTCCCTCCTGATATCCCTAAACCCTAAACCTTAAGCCCTAAACCCTCATGAAGGTCTTCCGGAGTCAGATTGGGCTCGATGTGAGGGCGGCCCTCAGTGAGTGCACAGAAGTGTACGTCACAGGCCAGGGTGTGATTCACATTGCTTGTAGGGTTTAGGGTTTAGGGTTCAGGGTGTAGGGTTTAGGGTTGAGGGGGGTGTATGGTTTAGGGTTTAGGGTTTAGAGTTTAGGGTTTAGGGTTTCTTGAGGGCCTGAGGGCTCAAGGTTTTTGGGGCTCTGTGGGGTTCCTACTTGCCTAAGTTCTACAGAGCTTCAGGATAGATATGGTATCGATGTCCACGTAAATGCGCGGTTTTAAGGTTTAGGGTTTAGGGCTTAGGGCTTAGGGCTTCGAGTTGCAGCTTTCTCGCCCCGACTTGCCAAGTCTTCTTGGGGACTTGGGGTAGTGGGTGCCTCGTATCCCCGCTACGCCCTATGCCCTAACCCAGACTCCGCTGGGAGGACCCCTAAACCCTAAGCCTTGAACCCTAAACCCTAAACCCTAAACCCTAAACCCTAAACCCTAAACCCTAAACCCTAAACCCTAACCCCTAAACCCTAAACCCTAAACCCTAAACCCCAAGCCCTAACTGAAGCTTAGACACTTGAGCCTGGTGTTGCAGGACACTCGATTGGAGCAGCGATGGCGGCAGCGACTTGATGGCCAACCGAAGCTCCCTTTAGTGGTTACCGGGTTTAGGGTTTAGGGTTTAGGGTTTAGGGTTTAGGGGTTTAGGGTTTAGGGTTTAGGGTTTAGGGTTTAGGTGAGGCTTCAGAATTTCAGGATTCGGACAGCTCACTCTCGCACCTCCTTACCGAAACCCTTTGTGCCACTGGCAGCTGGGGGGTTGAGGGTGTCAGGACTAAGGCAGGGGGTCCCTAAACCTTGAGCCCTAAACCCTAACCCTAAACCCCAAACCCTAAACCCTAAACCCCAAACCCTAAAACCCCTCGGGATTATAGGAAGATTAGGGTTTCGCACTAAGAGCTGAGGGCTGTAAGGCTTGGGGTAAAGCCTCTCGGGTGCATAACCTTCAGGGTCTCGGGCTGGGCCGGCGGGGGTTTAGGGTTTAGGGTTTAGGGTTTTAGGGTTTGTCTCAGGTATTCCAGTGGGAGAATTTGGAGAGGAGGATATCCCAGTCGCTTGGCTGCAACCCTCAGCCCGGAAGGTTTAGGGTTTACGGTTCAGGGGTTTGAGTGTTCAGGTTTCAGGCGGTGAGGGCCTAGGCTGCAGTATTTCGTGAGGTTTAAGGCTGTTAGCGTTTGGGGTTTACAGTGTTTAGGGTTTGCAGGGATTTGGGTTTAGTGGTGTTTTTAAGGCAGCGGTTAGGTATATAGGAAGAGGCCGGAGGGGAGGGGGGAACGGTAGCCTACGGATTGACAGGGAGGTTAGGTCCTTCCATCATGCAGATCCCGAAGATCAGGATGTTTCCCAGAAACACCCTGAACTCCAAAATCAATAAAGCCGAAACCCTAAACCCTACATTCCTAAATCCTGAGCCCTAAACTCCTAATCTCCTGAACTCCTAAAACTTAGGCTCCTAAACTCCTAAACTCTAAACTCCCAAACCCTCGAAGCCCTGAAGTCCCAGACCCGTCGACTCTGAAACGCAGACCCTAAACCCTAAACCCTAAACCCTAAACCCTAAACCCTAAACCCTAAACCAGGATTACCATGGGCCAGAATCTGGCTTGGTTCGGAACGCCCCCAGACGTCGGGTGCCGGGGAAGGCGGCTCTTCAGCGACCAGGACCCCGCAGGAAGCTCAGGTGTGGGGATCAGGGTTTAGGGTTTAGGGGTTTAGGGGTTTTGGGGTTTTGGGGTTTTGGGGTTTTGGGTTTAGGGTTTAGGGGTTTAGGGGTTTAGGGGTTTAGGGGTTTAGGGGTTTAGGGGTTTAGGGGTTTAGGGGTTTAGGGGTTCAGGGTTTAGGGTTTAGGGTTTGGGGTTTAGGGGTTTAGGGGTTTGGGTATTTGGAGAGCCTGTTCTTGTTTCCAAGGTCAGCCTAAACCCTAAACCCAACACCCTAAACCCTAAACCCCGAAGCGTCTGCGGCAGTAGTTAAGGGCTCAGTGGTTCTTCGGGGTCGTTGATCTTTCTTCGGGTTTAGGGTTTGCAGGCTTGGAGGTGCGATTAGGGATCGGGGCTTGGGGTTTGGGGTTTAGGGTGTAGGGTTTAGGGTTCGGCGTCACCTCACACCCATCACCCGAAGCGTTGGAGCCTTGAACCCAATTTAAAGCTCTCCATGGACCACGCAGCCCTCAAACCCCCAGCCCCTCCGCCCCTGTGGGCCATCTCATCTCGAGGTACCCTACCTCAGATGCTTCGTCGACAAGTCGGACGGCGAGGTCCCATGCTGGCATTTTCAGGTTCTTAAGGGAGGGGGTACGTAACCCAAGGTTCCCGAATGCTTACTACTCCCTAAGGCCTCCCTAAGCTTCCCGAAGATTCCCTGGGTACCTACCCTCATGAACCTAAGAACCCTATAGTGGTAGTCGGTGGACCTCAAACCGACACCATCCCAGACCCCTGGGATGATCCACAAAGTAGATCCCTTAAGTCCTAAGAATGACCCAAGAGTAGTATAGGGCACTCACTGGGGGTTCTCCTTCTGGGATCATCCTATGCGTCTGGGATATGCACATGGTCACATGTCATTTTCTCAAGTTGAGAGAGCGTTGGGATGTGGGCACCGAGGATTAGCAACCACAGACAGGAAGGTACAGTCAGAAGGCTTGCGCAGAAGCCCCCACAGCCAGCTTGAGCGGATAACCCCAAAAAACGCTCCCTCAACCCTTCCCTGAAAACTCGAGATCCTTCAAAATCAATTAGTAGATGTGGTGAACAATACGTTTCCCAATGTCTAGCAGTCCAGCAACCCACATCCCTAAACCCTAAACCCCAAGACCCCAAGACCCCAAGACCCCAAGACCCCAAAACCCCAAAACCCCAAAACCCCAAAACCCCAAAACCCCTAAACCCCTAAACCCCTACACCCCTACACCCCTACACCCCTACCCCACCCCTAAACCCCTACCCCTAAACCCCTAAACCCCTAAACCCCTAAACCCCTAAACCCCTAAACCCCTAAACCCCTAAACCCCTAAACCCCTAAACCCCTAAACCCCTAAACCCCTAAACCCCTAAACCCCTAAACCCCTAAACCCCTAAACCCTAAACCCCAAGACCCCAACACCCCAAAACCCCTAAACCCCTACACCCCTAAACCCCTAAACCCCTAAACCCCTACACCCCTTTCCCCTAAACCGTAAACCCTAAACCCATCGTACCGTTCGCGGTAGCGCTGGTTCCAGGTCGTCCGGCATGCGGCCGTTCCGGCCCAGAAGCTCGCCTACAGCAAGAGCACACAGACCTACAAGGCCGCGAAACGCTTTAGGCTTTAGGGTTCAGGGTTTAGGGCGTAGGGCTTAGGGTTTATAAGGTTTAGGTTGAGGGTTTATGATGTTCAGGGTTTAGGGTAATCTCTTCCTGATGGTTCATGGGTCGTTATAGGTAGGGTTCTAAGTTAGTACCAATCAGGGAAATAACTAGAGTTATCCTACGTATCAACCCCAGTCATATGGGTGCGAGTCAAAAGTCTAGGTATGTAACGGGCTTCCGGGCGTCTTTCCGCGACATAGGGCTTGTAACAAAGCCGTTCTCCTTGCGACAAGCAGCGTCCGCGACAAACCTGCGCGACAAGCCTCCGCGACAAGCCTGTGCGACAAGCCCCTTCTTATATGAGTATGCCATGTCGCTACGCAGGCAAGCATTTGTGAGCTCTTCTTTGGAACTGTGCAGGTGAAGCCCTGAATGCAACGGTTATGGGTACCCGCTCCGCGACATGCCCTGCGACATACCGCGACATACCCGTGACAAGTCATCAAGTGGCCCTGGCCAATACTTACCTGTTTTCCGATCGCCTCATGTGTCGCGAGAAGCCGCGCCAATTGGGGGCACCTGTGGTGCAGGTCAGGCAGGCCGATATTTCGGGCTTAGGGTTGAGGGTTTAAAGGGTTGAGAAGTCGGCTATAGTTCGGCTATGTTGCTGTTGAAGTACGGACTTCATATTACCCTCTTCAAGAGCAGCGTGCGAAACAGCCGCGACAAACCCCGCGACATACGTATGAAACAAGTGGGCGCGACATACGCATGTAACACAGGCGGGGGGCGGGACACCGCGACATACCCCCATTTAGACCCACAGCCATATCTACCCATGAACCTCCAAGTACTCTCTGAACCGTGGGACATAGCTTGCACCATTGGGTCCTTAAGGAGGGGGGGATTCATGGGGGGTCGGTACCTAGGGAACCTTAGGGAAGCTTAGGGAGGCCTGCGGGAGTAGTGGGGAGTATTAGGGAATCTTGGGTTACACCCGCAACCCTAAACCCTAAACCCGTAACCACCCGAAACCCTTAAACCCTGAACCCTAAACCCCCCGAACCTCCCGCCCTTAAGGACCCTATTGCCTATAGTTGCAGCAGCTGCGTCAAACCCTAAACCCTAAACCCTAAACCCTAAACCCTAAACCCTAAACCCTAAACCCTAAACCCCTAGAATTGCAGCAGCTGTGTATCAGGCCTACGCGCTCTACGACTGCGAAGCTGATACCCCGATGGATGCGGAGTGTGCCTGATCCTCAGGGCTCCCTGTTCTTGGCTTTGGGGTTTAAATTGATTGGGGTTTAGGGTTTAGGGTTTAGGGTTTAGGGTTTAGGGTTTAGGGTTTAGGGTTTAGGGTTTAGGGTTTAGGGTTTAGGGTTTAGGGTTTAATTAGCTCGGGTTTGGGGTTTACGGTTTAGGGTTTACGGTTTGGGGTTTTAGGGTTTAGGGCGGTGCTTGCGTTGGCGTGCTCGCTCCTTCTCCCTGTTTTCCCTCTTCTTCTCCTCTTCTTTTGGGTCGTCTTCCTCCTTCCTTGTATTCCTCCGTGTCTCTCCGACTTTCTTTCACGCCGTTGCTCTCTTCTTTTTGTCTCTGTTAGTCGCTTTTTGACTCTCTCACGATCGTGGGGGGTTTCCGAGCCTTATTGGGGTCCTTATTACAAGGCGATCCTACTATTTGGGGATCTAAAAATGGGGGTCCAAAATGTTCGTAAACCCCCTTGTTGCCTAGCTTAGGCGAAAGGGAGATGGTCGCCACAAAGCCCGAGGCACCCACTCACCCCCCAAATCCTCACAACCAGCTCAACACCCCTACAAAACCTATAGCTAAACCCTATAAACCCTAGGAACCCCTTGTAAAGCTCTAGAAACCCTATGTTCCAACCCTGTAAAGCCCATAAACCCGATAAAGCCCTCTAAAGCCCTTTTGAGCCCTACAAAGCCCTGTCAAGCCCTATAAAGCGCCCTATAAACCCTAAAGCGCCCTTAAACAACCCAAACTAGGTACACGGATGCAGCGCCATCGGCCCGCACTACACCCTGCGCATCGGCCTTGGCCTGTCGTCGCATCAAGCCTCTGAGTACATCAAAGCGGCCGACGATGCCTTCCCACTCTTCTCCGGGTAGGCTTAGAGGGTGTTTAGGGTTTAGGGTTTGGGGTTTAGGGGCTTTAGGGGCTTTAGGGGCTTTAGGGGCTTCAGGGGCTTTCGGGGGTTTAGAGGGTTTAGGGGGTTTAGGGGGTTTCAATCTACACGTGGTAGGTAGCCCAGTGGTACTCCTTTTGCCCTTTTCTTGGTTTCAACGTTCCCTCATAAAGTAACCAACCCCAAACAGGGTACCCTTATTGAAATTATGGTTACTGGGCTACCAAGAACCGTCCGCAACCTCGCCAACATACCCATTCAAGTGGAAAGTGGTCCACCCCCCCCCCCCCCCCGCCCCCCCATTGCCGGAAGAGGAATCCTCGTGCAGCTCCGACTGAAAGAGCCCCAAAGCCCTGTAGCGCTCTTTTGCGCACCTTGGTTCTACCTTATAGTTTATGCATCATTTCAGTATACAAAACATCCCAAACCCTAAGCCCCAAACCCTAAACCACACCCTTATAGCATTCTTAAGGGGACCCTCTTCCCTTGGTTGGGGTTCCCTTACGCTCTCCATGTTTTGTTTTCGGCTGCTCTGGGGACCCAGATTTGGGGGTTCAGGGTTCAGGCTTTGAAGCTTAGGGTTTAGAGTTCAGGGTGTAGAGTTTAGGGATTGGGCTTAGGGTTCAGAATTTCGGGTTTAGCGTTCAGGGTGTAGAGTTTAAGGTCTAGGTTTTGGAACTGAGGGTTCTCAGAGTTCAGCGTGTAGAATTGCTTGCTTCAGGTTTAGGGGAAAGACGTGCGCCCTAGCTGTCCGGTTGAAGATGCGAGCAGATTGTTCCGAGCCGTGGAAAATGCATCTGCCGTGCCAGAGCTCTTTCAGCCTAACCCCGAAGGATGCCCAATATGGCAGTGGTTATCATATTGCTTATCGGATTTTTTTAATATTATTCCGGCAAATCGTACTAGGTCTAAATCATCATATCAGTCATCCTGAGTCCTAAATCCTAAGTAGTTGGGGGCTCCTTGCTTCCTAGGCAGGTTCTCCCCGGCTGCGTTTACAGTAGACAAGTTGCGGTTTTCGATGAGATAAAGTTTAATGCGGAGAACACAATGCCACTTAATTGAAATTTTCTTCCCGAAAAAGAGTATGTTATTAGACTGTCGTATGAGTGTTTCGTTATGTCAATATATTCGTATATTTTTATATCATTCGATTATATTAGTATATTATTATCCTATTATATTCTTGAATCATTACATTACTATACACTTACATTGGTATATTATCATGGTAGTATTCGCTTTTAATACTATTAGTCTATTCTTGTGTAAGATCAAAGATCCCTAGCATATTCAAGGAGGACTCCCCGATATCTTAAGCCCCATGTGGCTCTTTTGGGTCTCGAAACAGTTTCTTTTTGTTATGGTTTAATTGCTGCTGCCTTGGTGTGCCCACTGTGATAGTTTCCAGGTAGTTGTTGAAGTTAGCGTCGTTCAGTTTTTTTATTTGTTGGGGGGGGGGGGGGGTCCCTCTAATTATCTTGGGGGCCCCAAAAGGAACGAACCCTAGTGTACAGAGCTATCCGTCTAATTTTCTTCATCTCCTAAGATGTCTCTGCCAGAGTCAGAAACCCTATTGCCCCAGGCTTGTCCCTAGACACTTAGTAGCTGAGTGAGCACACTTTACACTTTTTGGGATACTAGAATCCCCTAGAGAACTGAAAGTTTACACTTTTTTGGGGCTTATGAACTCAGCAACCAAGGACACGAAACTTCGAGAGAAACCCCTGAAGGGGTCAGGGTGTCAGAATTCTTCCGACGTGCTGCTCAACCCAGGGCCGACTCCGCAAAGCACTAAACCCTAAACCCTAAACCCTAAACCCTAAACCCTCTTTTGTATGCGGCTCAGGAAGCAAAAAGCCCATGCTCCCTGCAGGAACCTTCCGCAATAAGACCCAGAAGTCCTAAACCCCTTCAAGACCCCCTACACCGCCCTAAACCCTAAACCCTAATTCCTAAACCTCAAACCACCAAACCCTCAATACAAAGTCAGGATCCAAGCCCGGACTGGAATTGAAAAGGGATCCTTTCTGGTGTCAGGCGGGCGCACAGCAGGCCTTGCCAGACAAGGACAGTTTGTGAGTGACTGTAGTTAGGGTTTACGAAATAGGGTTTAGGGTTTAGGACCCTTCGTCCCAGTTGCTTTTGGTGGGATACCGAGTTCATTCCGTGGGTACCTTCTTGGGGTCCTTATCATAAGGGAATCCTACTATTTGGGGTCTATTTTGGGGGTCCCTCATTTTCGTAAACCCCATATGGTTAGGCTTTCATGTACCTCTTGTTAGGGTTATAAGTATACTTGGAGGTTCATGGGTACTTATAATCCCAATTATAATAACCTACTTAAAGGGACTTAGGGGGTTTCTAAGTACGGTTATACTTGGGGGTCATTCGTGCCCATGAACCTCCAAGCAGAATGCTATACCTACCGTTACTGCACCCCACCTGCTAGGATCCTTTAGGGCTGAGGTCCCCTTACTCAACCGGCTCAAAAATAGAATGCGCTCTCTTTTTTGTTAGGCTTGTAGGAACCCCAGTGAGTCAGAGGAAAGGGTTTCGGGTTTCCAGCGGCATGAGGCATTGGCAGGTTGGGCACTGATGCTTCGAATTCTCTTGGTACACCTTCTCCAGGTTTGACAGATTCGTGTGTCAGCCAACTTCTTTTGGCAATCGGAGCCGTGCCAGTTTAATCCCCTCCCGCAAAATATTCAACCCCCCCCCCCCCCCTACCCCCCAAATATTAAATACCCCCCCTATACTATAGTATAACTATCATGGGGGTATGGAATATTAGGGGGTAGGGGGGGGTTAAACTCAGGGGGACGGGGTTAGGGTTTTGGGCTGGGTTTAGGGGTGGTCCTTCAGAGGCTGTCCGTTCACCATTGTCATTTCGGCCTCCTGGCCGATCCTTGACAGGAGAGGTTTGATCTTCACTCTCTGCGACCACAGTCGTGCCAAAGCCTGCACCCCTAAACCCCAGCAACAGGACTACCCTGAACCCCAAGCCCCGAATACCTCAACCCTTAAGAAGTTTCTGCGCGATCCCTCCCAAAACCCTCCATGACGGCAGGACGGGATCCATCCTCTCCTTTCCGCGAGAGAGGCTGACGAGCCAAAACCCTGAACCCGGCTTCCCAATTTCCCGAAGGATCTGGCGGGGTTCAGCCGAGGCAAAAGGGGAGCTCTGAAGGAGACATGGGCCTAAACCCTGTAGACGCAGAACCCGAAAAAAGTCCCAAGGAAGCCGACAAGCCCTGAAGTATTAGAAGCTCCGCCTAAAGAGCCTTCTTGGGGCATTCTTTGGGTTGAAATTGAAAGAAGGGCTTGCTTAGAGGGCTTTTCTAGGGGGGAATGAGGGCTTAGAGATTTACCAGGTAAGGAATGTGCTGCCGAACTGCGTGCTGGGGGCAAGTCTGGTGCTTTTGAAGATGATGGCGTCCTTCTTGACGCCCTTATCCCCAAGCCACCCTGCACCGTGAAGCTTTGAGTGCTAAACCCCAAAGCCCTTGGGTTCGGGGTACTAGGGTTTCGGGATGCCCTACACCCAATGAGTCTCTGGACCAGGCGTGGCAGAAGTTGCAGCAGGCTCAGCTTACGTCAGCTTAGGGGCACATGTGGGGGTTTCCTACAAGTAAGGGGTCAAACTTTTGGGGGGGCCGTCAGAATCCTATAGAGGGGATTCTGCTGGGGTAAACAAGCGGACAAATCTCTGGCTTCAGGATTCAAAGCCAAGGAGTGCAGGTTTGTGTGGGATTGCAGTAAGTTAGGCACACGGGCACGGGCCCCGGGGCGCAATTTCTTACGGAAGAGTTGGCGTGAGTTCGACTTTCGTAGTCCCAGCCACGTGGCGCCACTGCCGGTGGTTTTTTTTGCAGCATCTTTACAGTGCGGCCCGCCGAACTGAAAGGGCACCATCCATGCGTGTCCAGTATCGGGAGAGTAGGGCGCACACCCCCCTGCAGACCAAAAAAAAGACAAGAAACTCTAAGCCTTCTAGGAATCCCAATCAAGGGCACCCCTACTTTCGGAACCCCCCCCCCCCACTTCAATTTGGCACATGTGTGCTACCTTGGACCTACCTTGCTGCTATTTATAAGGTTCTTAAGGGAGGGGGGTTCAAGGGTGGTACGTATCCCAAGGTTCCCGAATACTCCCTACGACTCCCTAAGGCTCCCTAAGCTTCCCTAAGGTTCCCTGGGTGCCTGCTCCCCATGAACCCCCCCTCCCTTAAGAACCCTATAAGCTATGCCAGGTCTCGCATCCTCGACATCCTAAGCCCTGATGAAGCGCCGAACTCCCCAAGCCCCAAACTCTTTGAGTTCTCAATCTTCCTGCCCCTTCTCCTAAACCCTAAAGGGGTTAGGGTACTAGTTTGGTGGAACCCTAAACCCTAAACCCTGAACCCTGAACCCTAAACCCTAAACCCTGAACCGTGAGCCCTGAAACCTACATCTATTGCAGGGCTACCCGGGTGAATTATCGGATACACCCACATTTGCGTCCTAGCTCCTTGGAATCCGGCCATCCCGAGGCAGCCCATTGAAGAGGACCCGCATGGACTCGTTTAGGATTCAAGGTTTAGGGTTTAGGGCTTAGGGTTGAGGGTCTATAGGGTCTATAGGGTTTAGGGTTTAGGGGTTAGGGGTTAGAGGGTTTAGGGTTTAGGGTCTATAGGGTTTAGGGTTTAGGGGTTAGAGGGTTTAGGGTGTAGGCTTTGCTGCTATTGGGAGCTTCATTTTTTTATTCAAGTTGCCGCAGTCCGGAAGCCAATATGATGTGCTGTGTGTTCAAAACTGCGGTTTCTCAAACCCTAAACCCTAAACCCTAAACCCTAAACCCTAAACCCTAAACCCTAAACCCTAAACCCTAAACCCTAAACCCTAAACCCTAAACCCTAAAAGGGATCAATGTGGGTCAAACCCTTCGGGGGCAATGCCACTGGCACCACCAAAAGAAGCCCTAGGGCATGACCACATTTAGGGT